GCATTATTTTCATTATTGATAGTAGTCACTGGAAAACAACAAATACCGAACAATTTTACAAACTTTGCTCACTTACCTCGAGGCTGGGATGCATCTCGACAAAGTGACGCTTCTATTTAGCTTTCTCAGTTGAGTCAGTTGCGCGCGTATACCATCCTTTCTAAGATTAAAGCTTTTAGAAAATTATGATAAAGTAGTCGTCTCTCTCTCTCTCTCTCTCTCTCTCTCTCTCTCTCTCTCTATTGATTCAACTATTCGTAATGTCTTTGAAGTATGCTTCGTTCAGCTTCCTTCTATACTCTATTTTCTCTTAACGGTATAAGTGTCGGGCTGTATGAGCATTGCAAACATTATAAAACGTTATATTCCATATTCATCGAATACCATTAATTTTATCTTACTCTACGAATATTTCATTTTACAATATACATTTAGTTTAATAATGCATTAATTACATTTGCATGGGGATAAAGTTCTCGTCGTTCAATGCTACAAGGCGATGTTTAAGAAATCGTTTGAGAAATATTGTCTTTTCAACACTCGCACTAACAAGAATAATATCAACTTTCTTTCATCTTCCAACGAATAAATAAATTAGTTATTTTTCGAAATTATAAATATTTTTTAACATTATTATTTTTATTTATTTATCTTTTTAATATCACATAGAATTCGGATAATAGTTAAAATAATTAACTTTCTATCTAAATTTTTGAGTATAAACTAGAAAAAACTGAAATGGCAGGAAGAAGCCTTTCCTAATAAGAAAATAAGGGAATGGAATAAATGCAATACGAAATTTTTTTTATCATCATTAATGTTAATCAATTAGCACACAATCAACCTTTTCATTCTATGACGATAATTATGAAGTAACAATTATTTTTACACATTGCTTAATTAAATATTTAATGTTTTTAGATCGACATAATCTGTCGTTAAATTAATTAAAATTTACCTACTTTATTTGCATAATATATATTTAAACAAAATAGCTTAATAATTGCTTAGAATAAAATAAAATGCTTATGAAAATATTCAGTTAATTGCTACTGTCCATTTGAAAAGCGTTTAAAAGTGGTTTTCACAAAGTAGATACATTTTTAGGTTACGTAACGTTTGGCTATTGCATAATTCAAAGAAATGATGTAATTTATGTCAATTTCCTATAAAATGAAAGTGTTTTTTGACACTTCAGGGGTACAAGCTTTAATTTAGAGCGTCAAAGATTTTGAGAAGATTGGGAAAAGTAGTGGTAGCATTACGTTAACATGGGCGTTGACTTGCTCACTTCTAAAAATAAAGACGATGCACTGGTTGGCCCATTCAACTAACTCAGTCGGTCGAAAATTGCTATCATAATTATAAACAATTCGGGATATGCTTGAATACGGTTGGTCAATTAAAAGAACAATATTCCGAACATTGTGCACGATTATTGTAATTTTACGTATTGTATTTGTGTATTTGGATCATATAAATAATCAAATAAATGTAAAATTGCTTTTAATCGTTAAATCAATAAACTTATAAATGATCAATGATAAGTTTGTTTATTAATTGTAATATTAATCATTACAATTGCTGTCGAGGGTTTCACTTGTGAAAATCTAAAATTTGTATTAACAAACATTACAGGACTAATTAATTATATTCGGATGATGAATTACGTATATTAACTAATCTAAAGTTTTGTAGAAATAATTGTAAAAGTTGAAAGCTCACACTATCGTAACTCTATCGCAATTCAAAATTAATTGCACATATGTAACATAATAATAGTTTCAAAAGGACGGAGCATTGTTATTTTAAAACTCTCCTATTTATAAAATAAATAGACCAATTGTTGCAGAAAAACGAAACGCATCGATACTGCAAAATATAAGCAATTTATTAAATATAAAGCGAAACCCTTATAAATCTATGAGAATGTCTAGAATCCCGACATCCGTAATGACGATTTTCTCATTTGCCACAGGATCTATCGTACAAGGACAAGCACTGGCACGAGGCCTGTTTCCTCTGTAACAAGTGCAGAGTGTCCTTGGTTGACAAACAGTTCGGCAGCAAAGTTGATAAGATTTACTGTGGTAACTGCTACGATGCCCAATTCGCTAGTCGCTGCGATGGATGCGGTGAAATCTTCCGTGCTGGTACGTCACTTTTATATTGCTTTTTCTTATCATAATTATTATGACGTCTCTATGACATTCGAAGCAATTCAGTGCAATACTAGGTGCAAATATTTTATCAGAGCTTTAAAATTCGATACATTACGGTATAGACTGATAATTTTGATAGTACATTCTTCATTGCATGGGACATTCTGTATTTTCCAAAAGTATTTTCATTGAATTGATAGTAATAATAGTTTTCTTCAGACTTCATTAATTCAATTCAAAGCTCTAATTATTATACACAATCAAGTCTCTCACATTTAACAATCGTACACCAAGTTCTTTGCAGAAGAGTGATAAATTATTATGTTCCCGTTGAAGCTCTTTGCTTTAATGCTTAATGATATGTAAGGATGTGATAATAAAATTTTCAGATATTAGTAAATAGAGTAAAATTCTTATTCATAGCTCATGTGTATTATTAAACGACAAAGCTTTTTGTATTAGTATATAAAAATTAATAAATGCAATGATTTTAATTACTATATTTGCCAGAAGAATGTATTGTATTGGTGATTTTCTTTTTCACGACCATTTAACAATTTAATTTCATAAATTTATGTATATTGAACTAAAAATACTTCGTATGTATTTCTAAATTTGCATATAAATACAATAATTTATTATAAGTATGTACCATTCAAGAATGCTCGGTTAAATATATATTTTCATGCATTGTGTGACCCTTCTCGATGTCAATAATATATTTATCGATAAATTTAATTTAATATCGATAATACCTAATAGCATAAATTAATAACTTTAATAGTTTAATAGAAAAAAAAAAAAAAAAAAAAAAAAAAAAAAAAAAACACGAAAGTGTTAAATGTTTTTACACGTAGTAAATTAAGAAAATTCTATTTTTCAAGCTTTTATTTCGATGATTTGCACAAATTTAGACTCTAGTACACGTAATTGAGTACACGAGGACCTCAATTCCCCGGTGGTAACGATTATGGCGGTGAGGAGGGGGTGGGGTCGAATAGTAGATAATATTTATACGTTTATTAAGGTAATTGAGTCAAGGATTAGTGCTCCTAGTTGAGGCAATGTCATGTCGTATTTGCGTCTACCGATCCTGAAAAGTACCGATTCGAAGTGCCGACAGGCATAAAGACCGATAAGAAAATGAAAATTGCTTATTTCATAGTAAAAATTATTTGTATACGTATACGTTTTGCTTTAGTTTATCCTTACGCACTTAGACAATTCAATGTTATATATCAATTGATTTTAATATAGCATTATTCGTTTAATTTAACTTCAAAATTAGCATACTAATGGCCAATCATTTATGGAAAGCGGCGTGTATTTATTTCACCTCACACATTATACGTATTGCGGTAAAATACAGAATATTCTTTGAATTCTAATAAAAATTCTTGTCCATATTCCTTTTAAGAATACCCATACTATTTATGAATTTACAATTTCACACATAAGTATTTCATTATTATAACCGTGTAATTCGACAATATACTTAATATTTCGATAACTCTGCAGGTCGAATAACTAATTTTCGCAAGGAACGTCTTCATCCTTAAATAATGTTAAAGCTTATTTTACATTATTTGCTATTGTTTTTTAAATCCGTAAGTGATACAATACAATTGATGAAAATAAGTCATATAAGAAGCATTTGAAAGTTTACGATATACATTTAATGAAAAATTTAACGAACATGTTAGTATAATAAATTTTACATATATATTAAAATTTTTCTTTTTATTGAATTATTTATTAAAGATCGTACAGAATAAAGCAATATAATTTATTTTACAGTACCATTTATTCATTTTGAATCGTATAAATACAAATTGTTAAATAAATTAATAATCCGATCTGTTATTTTATCGATTAGTCAATTCAATTTGCATTGATTTTTATTCATTACCGCAGGATATAAATATCCTATTAGATATTAGATTAATATAGGTAGAAACAAAAGCAGTATAATTGATAAGAAAACATTAGAGTATTGCAAATTTCAATTTGCTATAAAAACATTAGAGCTTTAGCAAATGTAAGACAGATCTTTACACATTTATGTCAAGACCAGAGGTATATTTGAATTCATCAGTGGGCAGATTTTGAAAATATTTCGTGTACCATCACAAAGCCAGACGCGCGCGGGTTTTTTTTTTTTGTTTTTGCAATAAGCCACATACACTTTCTCTAGCTTTTACATCTCATATTATATAAATATGCATCTTTAAATACATATTTTTTTTTTCAAGAATTTTGTTGTAGAGTCACTATTATATGTTTTATATATACACTAAATATATTACGTGACAAAAAAAAAAAAAAAAAAAAAAAAAAAAAAAAAAACTTTCGAAATCGATCAAATAAAATCATTTAAGAAGATATCCAAAACTATTTATAATTTAAAAACTTGAAAAACAAGTGACGCTTGTAATGATTTATGATAATAATTTCATTTGGTTTAATATTTTTAAATTTTTATTTATTTTATTTTAAACGAATAGGGAAAAAAAAAGTTGTACAATTAGTCAATACATTTCAAATCCTGAGATTTCCTGACCTAAAATTTCAATGTGTATAAAACATTTTACACAACACAATGTAAAAAATAGTTTTTTAATTTTAATTTGCGTATTTCGAGAACAGTTGTGTTGATAACAATATTCTGTTACTTTAACCTCGATGAAAACATATATCATTGTAAAGCTTTGTGATGGACTTTAATTAACGAACGTTGGTCTGTTAAAAATGTTTTATTACTCGAAATTTCTAAAAATCTTTGTTAATTAAAGTAATTTGTTAAAGTACGTCAAGTTGAAAATAAAAGATCTGTGAATAAAAAAAAAAAAAAAAAAAAGATAGATTCTTAATCCATATTTATTAAAATTACGAAAATGTATTTTGACTAATTATAGTGTTAATAAACGTATTTTTAATATATTTGCAATTTTCAAACTATCGACATTTGATAATTAAGAATCGTTGCACAATGTAATTATGACTAAAATCGACTTCGCGTTAATACGCTCAATTTTTGCAAACTACGTGACATTCGTCAATTTATCACTGAATGATATGCCATTACACGTATAGGAAGTTGCGATTAGTGTTTTATATATTTTGTAAATACCAACAGAAATCTCGCAATTTTAAATTTGTGCGATCGCTTGAGCCTAAAAATACTTATAAAAAAAGTACAAAATTTTATATTTGAAATTATCGTAAACATGCGACATGACCTCAGGAGTTATTCTATATAAAAAGATTATCCTTCGACAAAGCATCGGTACATTTAATCTAAGGCACAATATTAATTGCACCTATAAAATAAGAAACGACGTCGAATTTTCATTTGATATTGATGGTTAAGATGATGACGTTATTGATCATTTTGGTAAATCGTTACCCTCACTTACGACAAAATGAACTCGATCTAATCAATGCCATTCTTAAACTCGCAAATCAAGCAGCTCCCAACAACCATGGACTACTTATGTTTGACAAAGTTCAAGCATTTTGTCGTGAGATGGGAGGGAGGAAGTATTTTGATGAGATGTTGGGGTGGGGGGGTGGGGGGAGGGTGGTGGTGGGTGGTTTAGGAGAATTGAATCATCGAAGGATCAGAAAGCTATGGCAAGTGACAGTCCGACCAGACAGCGTCCGTTTCTACTAGTCGATGTCGCCTCGATTCTCCGGGTGGCCAATCTGCCTAAGCATTGGTTCTCGGTTTTCTTAACTCCCCTTAAGAAGGGGAATTCGCAAGAGCGAGCGAGAGAGCGCGAATAAGCGCGCCTACGGGGACAATCGCGTACCTCCTCCACTCGGCGCACGTGACCGGCGCTCTGCCTGCATCCCCGCGAGGTCGCTTTATCGCCGCGGTGCTCTCCAGAAAGCGAAAGCGCCGACGAGCGAAAGACGGAGGCGGAGGAAAGGAAAGAGGCTACCGAAGAGCCGAGAGGAGCCGATCTGCCTTGCTCAGTGGCTCGCAAGCCTTCAGGCTCATCGCACCGGACTGGAAGGAACCTCGACACTCCGCTCACCGTCACCGAGTCGCCGACCGAGTGGACTTTGCATTCTCGTCCGATAACGCCTCGCGCGCACAACTTAACCATCGCCGCCAATCAGCCTCCGCTGCCCCCCCCCCCCCCCCCCCCCCCCCCCACCCCCCCCCCCCCCC